GGAAAAAGGCAACACTTTGAATCTTTACATAAAACTGTATAATTCATTTCTGCTTTGGGAAGATGGAAAAGACTTTTTGTCCCTTTCTGAGAGACAGCATGAACCTTTCAAGCATGGGTATGTGATTTGGGGTAACTATGTAACTAGAAATACTGATAGAAAAATAATCTTTCCTATTCCTTTTATTTTTTTAACAACAGCAACTAAAAAGAGCATGAGGAATTTGAAGACAGAGATGAGTTGTGTAGCACCAACATTTTCTTTCTGCCTGACCTTAATATCTGATGAATTAAAAGGTCAGTTTTAAGTGCACCACATGATAGGCTTCCATCACTTTTATTAGCCCAGGTGATAACTATGAAGAAAAAGAATTATCGTTTATTAAATTATCGTTCCGCGTATTTTTTTTAATCCAGCAGGAGGAGCTCTAACATGCTTTACAGCCCAAATTTTAAAAACAAAACTTTTTAAAGCTAACAGAGAAAAACAGAGAGGCATTGTGCCTTGCAGGCTGCCATGTCAGTAAACAAATATGTGACTAAGTCCAATTAAATGCTTCGTGAGAAGCCAAGGAAGCCAAGCGATGATACTCGTGGAGACAGAACGGCCCACATTTCCTCCCTTCCATGAGCCTCCTCTTTCTGATGCAGTTAAGCTGGGACTAGTCTGTAGTATTAGCTCTTACAAAAGAGGGAGCAAAAGGATGATTTCTGGGCAAGACTAGATGTAATTCTTTCCCTCTGAAAGTGTCATATTGTTGCTAAACAAGTCTTTGACACTGGCTCAGGAATTTAAAACACATTTAAAAACAGAATTTTCATTGTTGGTTGAAGGCACTATGAAAGTTCTAAAGGTTCAGTTGCTTCTACTCAGTCGTTTGTCAGAGGGTTTTTTTTAAATGAGAGAAATGCTGTGTTTGTAAAAATTGGTGCTAAAAGGGTAACGAATCATACGTCCCCTGGGCCATGTAAAGAGTCTGCAGAAAGAATTAGAGCTTTCTAACACACATGCTAACACACACACACACACACACACACACACACACACACACAAACTGGAACTCAAAGAATTTTTACTCAGGAACAGTGAGGAGTGTATGAATTTAACAGTTATGGGATTTTTAGGGTAAGCCTTTCCATTTTGGACAGTGTTGTGGGAGTGGAATGGATGAGTGGGCATATACGATGATCAGAATTACTTAACCTGAAGGAAATTTTCAACCAATCCATTTTAATCTCTTGCCAACAAGAAGTCAAACTTTTGTTTTACACCTTAATGGTATGCTCACTTTTCAAATTTTTATACAGGCTCCTACAGAAACTTTAACTAGACCAATTCAGACCAAAGTCACTAAATAAAGCTAGTCTAGACGGAAAATCTATGAAAACCATATGTCTTTTAGGCATCTGTCTTACAAAAACTACCATCATCCCAGAGAAATTGTTCACAAAATATGCTTTTAGGAAAACACTGCTGTACTGACCATGGAGGACTGTACTTAAGAAGACGGCTGGACTCGGAAAGAATAAAGCCAAAATGTTTATAAATGAAAGGCTCTCATTTTCACATACATCTAACTGCCTGTAAACATTACTGAAAGGCTGGGCCAAGCAGATATCATTTATCTTACCATTATTCTAGAAGCGATCAAAAAAATTTACAGTTTTGTTCCTCCTCACTACTACAGAACATTAGACCAGGGGATCTCAAAGCAATTCTGTTCTCACCCACAGAAAACTGTTTTGAATAATGTTGTAAGTGGATGAGGCCAATAAACCAGAACATTTTCTTCTGATTATTACCTCATCCTGCTGGCCTGCCAAACACAGCTAGCAGGCAGGTGTCCGATATAAGTTACTAGAGGAAGACTGTTCTGTATAATTGGTGTAGGGATCATCCGAGAGACAAGGGAAATCAGAAGGACTAGGGTACAGAGGAAGGGTGCAATGAGAATGCAGTAAAGAGGAATATTTTAAAAGTTTGCTTTTCCAATTCAGCATTGCTTTCTGAACTAAACACAATGGTCAGTGCTACCTTCAGTATTCTAGGTATATAATGTTTCACCTTAAGATGCATTTTAATTTTAATAAGTGGTAAGACATCCACAGAAAAAAATATAAATGCAAACTTTAGTGACAAAAATAACATTCTAACTGAAAACTAAATAGCGATGGAGCCTATGAAAGTATTTATGAATTGCAAAGATTACTTGTAATCCTCTAGAATATTTTACTGAAACTTATTTCTCTGCAGAAAAGGAGATGTTGGAACAACAATTCAGTAGTAATAATTATTGGCATGAATAACTCCATTTTTTAGTCACCTAGAAGACTGTGAATGAACAATATACATCAAATAGCCACAGATGGCAAAAAGGTCCTAAGTTGGAAGAGAAAGATACCAGGAAAAAAAGGGAAATCTATTAGATGTAATCAATCATACTCCAACGTTTTAAGCAAACACCAGAAACACTATTTCAATGTGTTTTTTCAAAGATGTTGTGCTTTAAAATGAATTTTCAATATAAGTATGAGTTTTCAGGCATCAATAACATAGTGATGGAGTAATTTAGAGTGTTTGAAATATTAAAATGAATAAAGCAATTATATCAACATCCCTTATTAAAGATTCCCAGGCTGAACTATAGAACATTTAAGTAAGCAAATCACAGTCTACTGATGAGTCACAGGGGTTTTTCTGGTCCATTCATTTTAGTCCTAAGCGGTACTATTGTTAGAGCTAAAACTATTTAAGTCTGCTTTCATGCAAATCATATGCAGAGCACAGATTTTAGTTTGACTTTAGACCAAGGTATTTGGCGGGAAATTACTAGAGTGGTTTTTCTAGTTAACACATTTACTAATGTTTCCTTAATTTTTCCACCCCAACAGGCAATAATTAAGGTGGAATTTGCCTCACATGAAGTTTTATTATTTTAGTCATTAAAATATTTTCCAACACTACTGAGAAGTAAAAAGCAATTTGCTTTGTTTTAAAAAATAAGTAGACATTTTCCTCAGTTTTTATAGCTTTTCCTCAGTGAATGGTATTATAATGAGAGTAGTTGGGTAGACTTTCTGGTGTAGGCCCTTGAGCATGATACTTAAGCGTAGATTTACTTGAGGGAAAAATTTCATTCACTCTTAAAATTGGCTTTGAGAATAATCCAAATGTAAACTTAAAAAACACACATGGTACAGAATGTATCTTACATAAATACCCATTCTCAAGTGGAATAATTTCATTGCATACTCTCTGGATTGCAAAATGCCTTTAAAAGTCTTTCTCATATCCTATTCTCACAAGAGGTCTCATTCTAGATGAGAAATACACTAATCTTTTGAGATAAACGAAATACTGCAAATGAATGTTATATATTTAAGTATACAGACCAACAGTAAATTTAGAAAATGTTGCCTCATGAAAATCTTAAACCAAATACAGCTAATATTTTCATGGTGAAAACAAGTGGTATATTTGATTGTAAAATAAGACCATTTCCCAAGTCATATTTAAAGCCACATAATGCCTTCTCATACTGTCTTATTTTCTCTTAGTTTGCAAAATTACCATAGAAGCTTAGGAATTCTCATGTGGTGGTGTATTTAGTTTGTGGTTATCCAGATCTTTAGTTTATTCTCTTTCTTAGTTGGTACATTAGCCCTTTTACCAAAGAAGCAGGGAAGGAATGGGGCTTATTTCTAAATTTCATATTAACTTACACATTTAAAAAGAGTATACCTTTTCCTGTTTTCAGGTTTAAATTAATTCCTACTGGGAGAAAAAGTTGACTTTATCAATATTTGGAACTTTACATGTCTCTAAGCAACTGAAGTTAGGAAGACCCTTCCTTGCTATGGATTATGAGTGATTGCGAATTTTGCTACTTGCCATTTTGATTTAACATATTTTCAGATATCTGGATGGAATTGATTCACATGAGCTGATAACTTCGACCAGAAAAAAGGAGTGGGCATTTCCTAGTGCTTATGGGAATAGTTAAAAAATAATTCCAGAAATCATAGCATTTGCTATTTGTGGTTTTGCCTATTGTGTGGCTGTGATGCCTGAAAAGCAGCCACAGGGAAAAAAGTGCCATGAGGAGACTGCCCAAATACCTAGTGCCTTTAGACTTTTTGCCTTATGTAGGAATTCTTTCTTGGTCAAAGTTGCCATGGGATCTAAACTTGATGTAAATACTTAAATAATGTGGCATCAACGCACATGTAAATTCTCTCAAATCCAATGCCTTTCAACGCTGCCCTCCCATCCCCCACAATTAAAATATTGGCCACACCAAAAGTGTAATATTCTTTTGGCAACAGCATTTGGTAAGCCAGATGGATTTAATTTGGCAACTTAAGGGTGCAGAGGTTCCCCCAGAGAACACTTACAATACATTGGCAATAGGAAGCTAAAGAATTTCAGTGTGGAGTGTTTTAAAATTTTACCTTTGAGCAGCAATAAAGTTATGACAGGCAGGCAAAAGCCATCAAACCCTCAGCTAAATCCTCAATGTTTTCCTTGTATTGCTGGAGGTAGGCATTTAAGGCAAGTTTCAGAGTGAAAGATACAGCATTTATATTTTCATTTTTAATTTCCTGGCTCTTATCGGCTAAAGCAACTCTAGTAAATGTTATTTAAATTTTGCTTCTAGGCCTGGCATGGTGGTTCACGCCTGTAATCCCAGCACTTTGGGAGGCTACAGCGGGTGGATCACCTGAGTTCAGGAGTTCGAGACCAGCCTGGGCAACATGGTGAAACCCTGTCTCTACTCAAAATACAAAAATTAGCTGGATGTGGTGGTGCATGCCTGTAATCCCCGCTGCTTAGGAGGCTGTGGCAGGAGAATCACTCGAACCCAGGAAGCAGAAGTTGCAGTGAGCTGAGATCACGACACTGCACTACAGCCTGGGCAATAGAGACTCCACCTCAAAAAAATTTTTTTTGTTCTAATATTTCAAAGAAAGAATGAAGAAGGCCCCTTCCCCCACCCACCAGTAGTACTTTCTTCTCATTTGTTGCTTAGATCCAATTTAGAGGTGAAAGAGCTATGACCAATGTCATGCCATGAATCATTGAAGTCGTTAAAAACATACTACAGTATCTAAAAAGAACTGTCTGAATGTGAAGGTTTCCCTGTAAAAATCATTATTTTCTTACAGTGAGAGAAACAAGAAAGTACAGTGATGAAACAGAAGTACTAGTTTGTGTGGCATCTACAGGTCTGTATCTGCTTCCCTGTATGTGGGAACATTCAGCAGATTCCAACTGGTGACAATTTGCTGCTGACTGGCCACAGGAAGAATAATAATCCTTTACTGTGCATTTTTTACTGGCCAGTGGCTTTTCTGCCAGACTCCTGTCTTGGCTGTCTTCCTCTATCAGTCAGGTGAAACTCAGGGCAGGGCTAGGTCCCCTGAAACTCAGGAAGGCTTTCCCTGCAATGGGTGAAGCTTCACAATTTAGAGCTCCAAAGAGAATAATGACAGAGCTATTTGCTATTATTTGTCATGGGATGTGGAAGAAGTTTGGTTAGCTTAATGCCAGTTACCACTGGGCTAACAGCAGCATATTGTTATATTTACTGCTGCCTGTCTACATTTATGTTCCTTGTGCTTTGCCTCATGTAGATCCTTTCTTATTTTCCTTTTCCTTTTGCCCTCTTGCAACATAGGATGTTTGGAAGAGTGAGATAAGGGACACATTGAAAACAGAGAGGCAATCTGAAGGCTACCTTGACACATCGGCAAAACTCCCAGATTCTGACTTTCACACTTGCATTCTGTTTCTGGGCCTCACCTAAACAGACTGCCAATCATCCGAGCTGTGGCAGGATGGAGATGTTTGTGTAAAGTAGACTCAAGTTTGCAAGGCTCAAGAAGGAAACCACCAAACTAATTTTACTTTCACTTAAACCAGATTGAAACCAAGACTTGAAGAATTAAAAACTTTGACATTAACCATTGATTCACTCCAATGAAATATTGTGTTACAGCCAGAATCATGGTGAAATTGGAATGCGGCTTTTGATGGGATATTTAATTGAGGGACTTACATTAAATTGGACATTTTCTTTAGTGAACAGCATGTGGCCAAAATTCTATTTTCATTAAAGTATATTAAGCATCATGACAACTCATATTAAACCTGCAACAAATGATTAATTACATTTAGAGACTTCAAAACAAATGAGATGTCTTAAATAATAAGAATCAAAAAGAACATCTCAACGTTATTTCTATTCTTAGTAATTATATTAAAAAAAATCTTTCCTTGCTGTTAAATCCAGTTGCTAAAAATAAACTGTTCCCTGAAAAATCAGAATGCCTAATGATAAATTTATTTATTTGTTTTTTAAAAGAGGAGGATGGTGAGAAAAATAGAAAGCTCCTGGCTGACATCAGAAATCACAAGATGAGTTCCTCATTTGTCCAAATGACATTCAGCTGCTAAAAGAAGTCAGACTTTTAGAGGGCTGCTGAGGAGAGAGTAAGTCAGGAGGTTTCCAGTACATGACTGCAGGGGAATCAGACACAGACTAGTCACGTAAGTTGTCCATGCACCCTTAGCCCACGACTTCAGGGCTCAGCAGCTTCATCCTTCATGGCACCAAACCTTGATGTAAGGGATTCAAAGACACACTAATAAGAATAGTGAATTTGTCCTTACTCAAAATTTGGGGGACTGTCTAAAAAAAACAAAACAAAACAAGGAGATCTTATCCCTCAGTGAAAGGGACTTTATGTTAATTGTCAATTATAACAATATACAAAATATGTAAAAAAGAGTTATAGCACTGCAGGCCATCAAGGTCAAACATTTAAAACAAAATTAGGCTAAATTTTAAGGAATAAATGGCTTTTATCTTTGTAAAGAAAAGAATGTGTGTGTATTGATTGCCTATGTAGAATGATTTATAAATCTTCTGGCATGGTCAATTTGTAATAAATTACTGAAAATGTGGGATTATGATGAAACTCTTTAAATGTGCCAAATAAAGTCAAGGAAACCACCTAAGTCCTGGGGTGGGCATGAGTGAGACACTGGGATAATCCTGATGCTACTCTGGGGCTGTCTGTGAGGGGTGGGACATCAGCTTCCCTACGGGGCTCACCAGAGATTCCTTCAAGGGAGCATTTCTTGGTTCTTGGTTTCCATGTTGTGTTTATGTCATGTTGATAAGCTGGAGTAAAAGCCAAATCCTTTTGCATGATTCAGTTTTGTCTTTTTAAAGAGACACTATCATACTTGGTGAACAAGGGTGGTCAAAAAAATACTTATATTTTTCAACTTTTGTTTAGCTTGGAATATTGAGTGATAAGGTTAAAAAAAAGTTTCTTCTTCTTTGGTTGGAGACCCTTCCTCCCACCCTTATCCCCTTTTGACCATTGCAAAATAGCTTAGTCCAAGGAAAGGGAAGAAGACAAATGAGTGAAATAATGCCAGAGTAAGTTATTGCCAGGAAAAACACACTCGGATTCAGTTAATTTGTTCTGTTAATGTCAAAGGCTGTGATTCCCAATTAACTAATTTTAAGACCCTATATCTGAAAGTAGTTACATCAGCTCTAAAGTTAATGTCTGATGAAGATCACGATCTTCAATTCAGAGAACAGGGACCCTAAAGAGGTGGTGATGTCTGTTTAAGATCATCTTGCTAAGTAAATACACACCGGCTTGGATTTTCAAACAGCGTTTAGCCCCTTCAGAGAAGTTGAGTGGAGGTGAGAAGGGAGGGAACGATCCAGATATTTTGGCAATAGAAAATGTTCCACAAATCACTGATTTGTGTATACTCAACTTACTAATGACAGAAGCATACATACTAGTGAGTCTCTTTGGGATAGAGACGCTTCTCTAGTTCAAGTGGAATTAATTAAAACAGGCATGTAGTTTGCAATATTTCCAGCTCCCGCACCGAAAGGCTCCATGCACATAAACCAGAACAGCTTTAGCAGCTGAGAAAAGCTGGGCCAAAAATGACTCCACCACTTCGCTCCTTTCTCTCCTTTTATATTGGAATGGAAAGATACAATAATATATATATTTTTAAAAGCAGAACACTCATGGTTTCTGTACAATTGCAAGTGCTTTGATTACCTTTGAATGGGGTTAACATAAAAATATATATGCTCTTAAAAGTCAAGATCATAACTTGCTAATGAAGTCGTGAATTATCCAGAAGGAAACTATGCACAAGCACATGCCGAATGGCAGAATCTCTTGTCTCTAAAAGTTCAGTTATTGCCTTTGTAATATTAAAGGCCAACAGGGAGCTGGAGGGACACCTTTTGTGCTGTCTTGTCATGTTATAGGTTTCCAGTTTCAGATAAAAGAGGAGAAAGGGCCCTTAGAAAGTAAAAAACTTGGAAAAAAAATCAAACTTCCTTCTCTGAAAGAAAAGGGTTATTTTCCTAGAGATGATGGATAATGGCGTTTCAACTTTCTAAGTTTCTGATAGAGAAAATGGAGGCAAATCACAGAGGGGAAATAGAATATATTAAACAAATAGAATAAGGTAAAGTTTCAACGACCGCTTCCCTTGATTTTTTTCTTTCTCTCATTCTCTCTTCCTTTCTTTTTCTCCTTTCGTTTTTTGAAATCTTAAACCCCATTTCTGACTTGTATTTGGTAGGATCCCTGCTCTAACTTTTATTAAAAACAGACTTTATGTGGTCAGAACTCCCCATCTAAAGCTGGATTTAACAGGCATGGGGATCCTGACAGTCTTTCTTGCTCTCTCAGGTGACCACCCCCTGTGCCCTTTCCCGGGATTTCCCTCCCAAAGTGCTGAACTGGCACAGAAACTTGAAGGCTCAGCACAAAACAACCAACTTTCCTTTTTAATCCTGTACTCTCATTTCTGTTTTAAATTTGGGACTCTCTGCATGGCCAGATCAAGTAAAGTCTGGTTCTAACTTGAGAGTATTCTAGAAATTTCAAATAAGGCAACTGTCATCCTATAAATTCCCCAGTGCAATCTCATTAAATCCTGCTGTCCATGCACTGGCCATCCAGCTCAGGCTACTCATTCTCGTCCGGCTGTCTTATGTGTGTGAGCTGGAAAATACCAACAGCAACCCCACCCTGCTTAACAAGTCAGCTTAGCATTCAAAAGTTGATTTTTCTGAAGGGTACTGGCAAGCCAGCTCATTGGAAACCCACAGGTAAAGCAGTCAAGCAAGTAGGCAGAACATGCATGTTCATTATCGAGGACAGGCACTACCAGGTTGCTCTGGTTTCTTCTCATAGATAGACAGACAAAAGTAGCTCCTGCATGGGACTCCAGCCTTCCCACTCTCAACTCTTCCTCTTCCAATGGCCTCAATACCTTCCTGGTACAATGGCAGACACTTTCCCAGTCAATTTGAGATTTTCTAAAATAATAAATTGGATCTTGCTTGTAAGAAGGCTAAATGCTGAAATTCATGCTTTTCACATGGAAGGGAATTCTTTTGAACACTACAGTCTAGTGGTTCTCATGTGGAGGGGAATTTTACTTCCCTAAGAGACACTGGCAGTATCTACAGATATTTTTAGTGGTCACAACTGGGGGAGTGCAACTGAAATCTAGAGGGTAGAGGCAAGGGACGTTGCCTTATAATACACAGGACAGGCTCCACAACAAAAATGTCAGTATGGATGAGGTTGAGAAACCCTGGGGTCATAGTTGGGAAATGGCTCTGGATGCAGACTGCATGGGATTAAAGTCCAGTTCCAGTAGGGACTGGCTGAGCAGCCTTGGACAAGTTGTTTAACCTCACTACCTCATCTGTAAAATGTGGATAATAACCTATTTGTTGTGAGCTTTAAACAAAAATGTATATACAAAGTTCTTAGGGCAATGCCTAGTAATATTGAGAGCACAATAAATGTTGGCTATTACTGTTACCATTACTACTAGAAATTTAGCACCATTCCAAATAAATTACAAGCCAAGTCTATTGAATTTAGAGAAAAAAAATTGGATTGAGAATATATATATCCTCTTTGCTTAGAACCAAAATGATAACAGGGGTAACAACTGTGTTCTTTACAGTGTTTCAAACTCTTTCAAATACCTCATGTCATATGATCTAGGCAACAACCTTACTGAATTCTCCCTGTTTCACAGATAAAGAACTCTTGTCTCAGAGTTAATGAGGTGCCCAAGACCTTCAGTAACTCAGGTCTTCTGACTGCAAATCTCCTGCTTGTTCTTGCTGCACCACCCTGTGTGTACTAGTTTAAGATCCCCCTTCTCTTCATTACACTCAACAACCTGAAGATCAAAATAAAACATAAGTGCCACAATCAATTGGTGAGGTGGCTCAGGCTTCAGGGGTGGGTAGAAGTCACATCTGTTTTTATGGTATGTATACAGCAGATTTTCCTTCATGGAGTATATATATATTTTAAATCTCTGAATTGAATTTTAAAAAATTAACTTTATGTATGGGCTAATATTCTTTGCTATTCATACTTCTGATTTTGAGGGGGAAAAACCTTAGTACTTTATATCTTAAAAATTTCTGATTATATTCATTATGTATATTTTGACTGTAAGAGTATAAAGGTGAGACTACAGCTCCAACTATGTATGTTTCTAGGTCCATTATTTATTAACTATATTGTATCACAATTAAGCCTGAAAATCTACTTATAATTGTCAACATGTATTATTTAAATGTACAATAAACTATCTTATATATGATTAGAGACTATACACAGCAATTATGCCTATGTTAAAATTTCTACGTGTAGTTTTTTTTTTTTAATGCAGATCAATCAGCCAGATTTATTCAGCTTATATGAAAATTGGTAAAATTGGGTATAAGGATCACAGTTCAGAAGGCAAATGGATAAGATTCTTTATGTCAGTGGTTTTCTGGAATTCTTTTGGTGATGGAGAAGGCAAAGCCTTAGTCCATGAAACTCTCATGACCTATGGAACACACAGCTTGCTACAATCCTCCGTAGAACTTTTGTTTCAAAGCCCTCCGTCAAGTTCTCCCAACAGCTGCCAAAATGTCATTCACTGGGACCCAGTGTTCTTTAGTCCTATTTAGTTTGTGCCAATTGATAAATGAGAAATTTTAATGATCACAAGTGATTTTTAAATGGCATAACAGGGTTGGCAATTTTCCTACAGTCCCACTTCAGTGTGAAAATTGCAAACACATACAATAAGATCTTTGCAATTTTCTCTTTCAAATAAATTTTGTCTGTCATTCTACGAGAAGAGAACCAAGGTGCACCCCCACCAATTTCTGCTCCGTGCCTTACCTTGGGACACTGGGCGGGGCCCTCGTGGGTCGAGATGGAACTTGTGGAGGGGCTCCAAAGGAGTCACTGCTGCTGGGGAAAGGAGGTAATGGGCCTGGACGGAATGGGACTGGGGGAGCCCCAGAGTGGGGTCCTGGGGAGGGAATGGCAGGAGCGGGTCCTCGGCCAGATGTGGGCCTTGTGAGGGGAGCGCTTAGTGTTGGCCTCCTTTGGGTTGTGGGGCTTGGAGGAGGTGACCTGAAGAAAAAGACAAATCATGATTTGCTCACTCCTTTCTGTCTGAATTAATCTCTAAAAAGTTTTGTAACTTCCTGACTGCTTTTTAAAAATTATTTTTTGACTGAATAAGTCAGATTCATATTATGAAAGTCAAACGTATAAACGGATGAATGGAGAAAAGTAAACTTTCCCCTCCATACTCCTTCACTCTGTTGAAGTAACCATGGACGTTTCTTGTGCATCCTTTTCAACTGTATTCTACATTTGTATAAGTGTATATATTTTATCTATATATAGAAATTGCTTTCTATATACCATAGAACTCAGTGTTCTACAATCTCCGTTTTTTTTTTGAGACAGAGTCTCACTCTGTTGCCCAGGCTGGAGTGCAATGGTGAGATCTCAGCTCACTGCAACCTCCACCTCCTTGGTTCAAGCGATTCTCCTGCCTCAGCCTCCTGAGTAGCTGGGATTACAGGCGTGCGCTACCACACCCAGCTAATTTTTGTATTTGTAGTAGAGATTGGGTTCCACTACATTGGGCAGGCTGTTCTCAAACTCCCGACCTCAGGTGATCCGCTTGCCTTGGGGTCCCAAAGTGCTGGGATTATAGGCGTGAGCCACCGTGCCTGGACTACAACCTCCTTTTTTTAAGGCTTCTCATTAACAGGATTATCTTTCATTTTGGGACTTAATAGAACTGTCTTGTTCTTTTTAGTGACTATACAACATTCCACTGTGAGGACACACCATGCTGCATCTTGAAGGGAGTTAGTATAATCTGATCTTTATTTCTAAATGTAAATATCTTTTCCCCTTTTTCTGTAAGTCCATCTTGGTTTAGGAAAGCACTCTCAGAAAATGGTATTGGACAAGCATGGCAGGGATCAAGGGTTGTGGGGCCATCTTCTTACCTGCGAGAGTGCTGTATCCAGGAGTCATCCACTGGAGGTGGAGCTGGAGTAGACACGGTGGCAGTGCTGATGTCCCCAATTATCCCAAGGGCTTCTTTTAGGGCTTGGTACATTCGAAGCATTTCATCCCGGCGCTGAGCCTGCTCAGCAGATTCCTCCATCAGAGTATTTTGGTCCTCTGAAGAATACAACTGTGCTAGGAGCTCTGAATTTATAAAATCTTTGACCTGTCAGATCACCACAGAGAAATAAAAACAGGAATAAATGAGTGATTGAGTGGAGGCAGAAACATGGCTGTGGCATTCAGAGTCTGGACAAAGTCCACCAAGTCCACCCTGGGAAAAGTGAAGCATCAAACATCTGTTTACTCCTATTTTGTCTCTATCCTCAGTACTGGTGATAGTAACAGTTTCCCTCTGTCTTCTGGCTGTCGACACTGAAGGATGATAGAGATGAGTACAAGAAGGCCAAACCCGGCCATCACCAGAACAGGGCCTGCAGGCTTCATGAACATTTCACAGTGTTGTCTGAAGCTGTTTGGCTTATAGAAGAGGGAAGGTACTATGAGGTAAGCAGCAGTATTTTCAACAGAAAACAGTAATGTGAAGAAACCTACATAACCACACGTTTTCTATTCCTTGGCATTCCCAGTCCTTTCTCTACCTTTTACGAAAATCACTGGAAAATTATTGAGACTCCAAGTGTCAATGTTGTCTCAAAAGTGAAATTAGCACCAGTAAGTAAATATTTATTAAATACAGAATCTTGTATAACTATGCAGGTTGATTTATAAACAAGGGAAAGAGAGGCACTCTGTTTTCCAGAAGTTTACAGTAGAAGTTAGTTAACAGTGAGGAAGACTGACATGAGGTTTCATAGTTAGCTAATATATAAAAACAAGATTAAGTATGAACACTACGTGGGGGTGTCAGGGGAGGGGCATTTTGTTGCAGGATGAAAATGGAGAGGATGAATATGATGCACAACAGTGAGGGTGGGAGTGCCAGCCACTGTATGTCATCAACCCTAAGACACCAGTGATTTTAAGAAACACTACTATCTTTTTAAAAAAATTTACTTATTATACTTTAAGTTCTGGGGTACATATGCAGATCATGCAGGTTTGTTACATAGGTATATACATGCCATGGTGGTGGTTTGCTGCATCCACTGCCCTGTCATCTACATTAGTCATTTCTCCTAATGCTATCCCTCCCCAATTCACCCACCCCCTGCTATTCCTCCCCTAGACCCCCACCCCAAGGCCCCGGTGTGTGATGTTCCCCTCCCTGTGTCCCTGTGTTCTCATTGTTCAACACCCACTTACAAGTGAGAACATGTGGTGAAAAACACTACTATCTTATGTGCCGTCTAATAAGACAGAAAAAAAATACCATCAATCAAACTATGACAGGATGTCAAGATGCCATTGAGTATAAGACGCATCTTCATTTCAGAAATATTAAATAAAAAGAAGTGAATGTGAGAATCAATGAAGTGTGGTATACACCAAGCGCCTTCACAAGTTACATGACAATTCTCATCATACACTGATGAAACATGCATTAGTATTCCAATTTTATAGATACAGAAACAAATTCAGAGAATTTAAGTATCTTTCTCTAGGTCACACAGCATTCAGTTGAATCCAAAATCTTCTGACTTGAAGTCCAGTGCCATTCCCTTACCCCATTATCTCACTGTGATGGAGTGCTTAGAAAAGTAAATTTATGTCTAAGCATAATTGTTTTACAGTGGTGCAGCAATTAACTTAAGCCTAGTGAAAATAAACCAGTTTGGATTTTTCAGTTTCTCTGTTACATGAGCAAGCTAACTCTTATCTAGACTCATGAATATCTCTAAGAAAGGCCAAAGGCAAGTATATTTAATTGTTAAAAAATCAGATGGATAACAGAAAAGCTGTCAGATGCTCAAAATTTCCAGGTTGTAGTTAACTTTGTAATTCAGAGATGACAAAAACCTAAAACACATAGCTTTATTATGTTTTAAAGGTATCAAAACATGTAAATAATTCTACTAATCAAAAAATTCAGCTAAATCAAAGCTTTATTATGGTGAAATAGTGCTTTCTGTACACATTTTGTAAATCAAGAGTGATTCAAAGGTGAAAGTAATCTAACATACAAGATGTATTTAGGAAACCCTCTGGTGAAGTAGAAGGTTTATGTACAATAGTTGTGGAAGGTAAGTTTGACCAGGAAACCTGGGGCAGATGTGAAGGCCTTGAATGCCAAGGAAAAGTGTTTGAACTTTATTCACTTGGCCAAAAGGGGCTATGGAAAGCTTTTAAGCAAGTAAGTGAAACAATAAAAGAGAGTTTTCAGGAAAATTAATCTGGCTAACATAGAAAAAGAACTGGCAAGGTTAGTAGAGAAAATAAAGAAATCCATTAGAAGACTATTGTAGATTATTCATAAGATGGTAAGGGTTTCATTTACTAATAATGCAGTGGTATGAAAGACAGATACATGTAATGACATTGTAAGGGAATAATTAAGTGGACTTGGTGCTGTTGGGATGTGAAGGGCAAGGAAGAAAGGAACAATCAAAGACACCTCAAGCATTGACATTTGGGTGAGTGGGAAAATAGAAAATCAAAAGTCAGAAAAGAAAGTCAGCTTTAGAGAGAAGGCAGTAAATTTGGCTTTAGAAATATTTCATTCCCTTCCTTTAAAGATGCATTCACTTCTAAATGTACTTGCAGGTATGCAGGGAATCATGGTTATTTGCACAAATTTCCCACTTTTGGATGTGTATATGCACTCGGATGGATGGTGCAATTCAAAACTCAAAACCAGACAATTTTCCTGGCATTAACCATTGGTTGGGTTAAGCTCTTTAGAGGGTTTACATATTACTGGAGTATCACTTAGAATCTATTAAATACAATTTAAAAGTAGATTCTTCCAATAGTAGATTTAAAGCAGAGCTGAATTAAGAATCAGGCCGGGCACGGTGGCTCAAGCCTGTAATCCCAGCACTTTGGGAGCTGAGGCGGGGGGATCACGAGGTCAAGAGATCGAGACCATCCTGGTCAACATGGTGAAACCCTGTCTCTACTAAAAATACAAAACATTAGCTGGGCATGGTGGCGCGTGCCTGTAATCCCAGCTACTCA